TCACGAACATATCAATGCGTAATTGTAAAAAAAGAAGTTTGTACGAACGAACGAATGAACAAATGAAAGATGAGTAGTTGGAAATAAACTTCAATTTTCCTCTTCACATAACATGATGATTTTTTAATTCTAGCTGGCAAAAATATCAATGTTTAAGGGAGGCAATTAAAAATTTATAAAAAAAATATAACCATCGTCATGTGTTATGTTTCCAACCATCATCTTTTAACCATCACCATTATCGGCGATGTTATCACCATCATCTTCTTACTCCTCTTCATCATCATCTTCTTCCTCTTCACCATCATCATCCTTTTCTTCTTCCACTTCACCATCATCATCATCTTCTTCCTCTTCGCCATCATCATCATCATCTTCTTCTTCCTCTTCTTCTTCGCCATCATCATCTTCTTAATCTTCACTGCCACCATCGTCGTCGTCGTTATCATCACTACCTCAATCGCCACCAAGATATCATCAGCGTTATCATCAGCGCGGCATCTTGATCACACGACGACGGACAGTACTATGATGAGGACGATGACCATCAACGCAACCACCACGCAACCGACTATCAACATCTTCTTCTGTTGTTGTTGTCGTTGCGAGAAATTTAAAAAATTTAATTGAATTACAAATAATAATTATGATAATTATTAATAAAAATTATAATGAAGATGACGATTATTAGCAATTAATAATAATTTCCCCGACCAATCACTATTGCAGTTTCAGATCTGTCGCAATGGCTGCCATCATCACCATCACTCCTATCATCATCATCACTCCTACCATCATCATCATCATCATTCCTAACATCATCATCATCATCATTCCTAACATCATCATCATCAGCATAACTATCATCATCACCACTGGCCGATCTGCCATCTTCACTAACTTTCCTAGCTTTGATCTGATGTTTCCTCGCCTCCTCGGTATGCTTGACAGCCTTCTCAACGTAATCAGCTGACTGCTGAATTACTGTTTCTATGTTATCCACCATTTCACCCTAGATATAACAATAATGAATAATATGTTATTAATATAGTGCTTTAAGTGTTGCCTGCTTTAAATCCACTTTTAATTGAAACATACACACATGGAAACATGGGAAACGTTGATAACCTGTTGCTCCACCAACATGGCCAGTTCAACGAACAGATCCCTCAACTCCATGATGCTCTTCTCCAACTTATCCAACTCTTTCTGCCTATCATCTAACTCTTGTAAATCTAACTTGGCTTTTTGAACCATCTCGTTGTACTGTGTACGTGTGCATGTGACCGATAATAATAAATTATGATAACTGATAGCGAATATTATTATTGTAATAATTATTAATGAATAATAATAGTGATAGTAACCTCCCCAACAAATATCTGACTCTTTCCACTTTCAATTATCTTATCAATTTCTTCGTCTGTCATGTCTTTGTTCACTAAAGAGAGGGAAAAATCAAAAAGCCAGTAAACATAGATGATCAAATGAACCATATATAACTGACCTCATCTAATTAACTGACCTAAATTAACTGACTCAGACGATATATTTATTCGACCTAGTTATCTAATCTGTGATTGGATGAGAAACCGACCAACCGATTTGCAGGGTTCTGACGATCCTCTTCTTGCACTGCTCTCTGTATTGTAGCTGGCAGTCATTGTACTCCAACATGCTATCTTTGAATCGCTTCATTAAGGAGGAATGCTGGATGGACAGATGGACAAAAAAATAAATGAGTAAAAGAAAAAATGAATGAATGAATAGACGAGAAAAGAAAAGAAGAAATAAACAAATCACAGTTATAAACATCACAACCTGCAACTTTTTAATCCTAAGATCGGCCCTCTCACCTTTCTCCTCTTTCTCTCTATTATTCGCCTTATCCAATAAAATCTCTGATTCTATATCTAACATGAAGAACCAATTAATTAATTAATTAACTGATTAATTATATGGGTGAGATGACGATGACAAGTGAGAGAATGAAGTTTCCCAGGTAAGTTGATGACATAGATGAGTGACCTGGTGATGAAACTTGAATGAGAGTACATACAAAAAAAGTACCTTTGAGTTCTTTCCTAATTGTCTTTGAAAGAAGTCGGATGTTGTTCATATGCTCATCTAACTGATTTCTTTGCTCTAACATGCATTAACATATTTTGTCTCATCATCATTATCATCATCATCATCATAACCACCAACCACATCATCATCTTATAAAAAACATACGTGCAACTACACAAACACAGATATAGAGAAACAAAGATACATACGCGCACACACACGCACGCACACACGCACGCACACATACTTTGATCATTATGTGGTGTGGACAGAAGGGCTGCATGAACTTTTTTAATCTCCTTCACTTTTAAATCCAAATCATCCAACTCTGACCCTATTTTGTTTGCCTATGATGATAGGGACAACATAGTTGTTGATAATTTTAATAGTAGATTTATCATTATTATAAAAAATAAAACACACACACACGCACGCACACACACACACACACGCACTCCTACAAACATACAACCTATTCAATATTTTAATGTGCTATAAAGTACAATTTCAGAAATGTAGTAATGGAATGTGATGACGCTCCCACTTTCTTGCATTGAAGCAACTAATACATAACAGGTTCTGCTACACCTAAAACACTGAGCTACATTACTAACATACTTCCAGCAGTACTAACCAGTTGAAAAAAATTGTTCAATTCATTATTTATCACATCACCTCTCTCGTCTCGAACTATTGAAATTTTTAGTGGCGTGGAGTTGTTGAACGTCACTATCACTTCCTCTTCTTCAAGATTACCCTATTCATGATTGTAAAATGAATCAATTTGGAAAATTTAATGAATTTAATGACAGTTTTTAAACTGTTAAAAAAAATTTGTAAAATTTGTTTTAAGGATTTTTAAAACATGCTACTAAATTTTTTACTAGTTAAATCACAGATATTAGTAATAATATTTATTTAAGATTTAAGATATATAATAAATAATATAGTAGTTGTACTGGGCTGATATAAAAATAAATTGAATAAATAAATAAATAAAATAAATTAAAAATAAAATAAGACACACACAAGTCTTTCAATTCAAGACACAAATGCCAGAACCCGGATGCCCTCAGATAATTTAGTAATTTGAATATTTAGATTTTTAAATGAATAAAATATATTTAAAAGAATATAAAATAGGATGTCTGCCTACATTTTTAAAGGCCGCTTTTCTCAATTCTTCCAACCGATCTCTTGGCATGATTCAGAAAAAAATTGAAATAAATAAACTTCAAATTAAATTTCAGTCAAAATGATTTTCCTATCACCTAAATTCCAAAGTTTAACTTTAGTATCGATTTTTTCATCAAATTAAATAAAATCGCCTACGGAGTTTAACTTTTAAATTCTAAAAGTTAATTAGCACTTAACTAATTGTAAATTAATTGTATAGTGCTTAATTGTATTATAAAAATTAGTTTCAGAGCATATATATATAGAATAAAATGTATATATTCGAACTTGCAGGCATGCTGTTTGCGATAGACGCTGTTTAATTGATGAACTATGACTGAAAACAAAAATTTACGATTTCATTTTAATTAAATTTTCAGCGTAAATCAAAATTACACACTTCAAAAAAAAATTATTCATAAATTTATTACAATTAAAACAATTCTTTAAAGTGAACGAAAACTAAAAGTATAAAAATGTATCAATCAATCAATCAATCAATCAATCAATCAATCAATCAATCAATCAATCAATCAATCAATCAATCAATCAATCAATCAATCAATCAATCAATCAATCAATCAATCAATCAATCAATCAATCAACCAGCCAATCAAATCAATCAATTGTTCATTCATTTCGTCGGTCAATCACAATAAACTTAACTATCATTCAACCAATGAAACAAACCAAAAAATCACACATCTATAAAATCATCCCATGCCATTTACAAATAATTATATGAGAAGAATGTTAATTTAAATAACAGACATAAAACTGAATAATATAAAAATAAAAATTATTATTATTAAATTATTATTATTTTCATAATTATATAATAAAAATTGTCAATATATACTAACAGCTGACTAAATTTCCAAAAAAAAATATAAAATTAGTTTGGCGTTTGGCAGCAGTTTAACTTATAGTACCTAAGATCGTTCACAAAGTTCTCTAAGTTCTTTGAGAAAGTTGGCAGGTCCTGACAAAACAAAAAATAATTACAATAATAATAAATATCAATAATAATAAAAGAAAGAGAGAAAGTCATATTTGCAATTAATTCTACCTTTTCTCTCTGCAGCGCAATCAGGAGTCTCTGTTTTTGCACATCACTAGAAAGTTCCACAGTCGCCAGGAAACGAACCACAAACGTTGAGTAGAAGTACTCAAAATCCGTAGCCGCCATATTGAAAATGGCGGTAGTGATGTCATCTCGCAGTAGGTCATGTGACTTGTTGAAGAGGGTGTGGAGAAGTACGGAGAGGAAGTCAGAGAGAAGGATGTTCTTGAAAGCGGGCTGATGATGAAGTTGCGGTGATGATGATGATGTCGTGATGATTATGACGAATCTTAAAATAATAACTTCACTTAACGATAAACCAAAGAAAGATAAAAACAGGACCCAAAGAACTAACTTTTTCGTAGAGTTTAAACCGATCGTTTAAGCTCTCCAAAATGCTGAGGTTGTGCCTAAACAGTTCTACATCTGTCTGAAGAAACGATTGTCCAAGTGCCTGATTAGAGAATTGACAGATGGAAAAATAGATAAACGAATGAAAGAAAGAATGAAAGAACGAATGAAAGAATGAATGAAAGGATGAATGAGTAACAGGTAGACGGACTGACAAACGATTGAATGAACAGTCTGCATCGTAAAAAAATTTTCCTTTTCCAGATTTCTACCTGCATGATTCCAGAAAAATATTGTTCCCTAGTAAAAGAAGCTGATTGGTTGTTCAGCTGGTCAGATGACTTGGCGGCGGCAGCCAATAGGGTGCTGGGGAAGAAAAATTTCCAATTATGCTTCAGGATAGAATGGAATAGAGAGAACAGCGTGACCTTAACGTCAGGGATCTGTCTCTACAAAATGGAAAAGTAAATGTTTAAAAGTGAATTTACACGATAATAATAATAATAATAATAATAAAAACCTCGGCTAATAGGGGATAGACTTGTCGCAAACTCAAGTCCAATATGGAGGGTAGGAATTTTTTAAACGTCTGCCCGGGCTCTGATGCTATGATGGTCAAGATTTGTAAGAACCTGAATAAGAATAGTCATTATAATAAAATTATTATCCATAATTTTGAAATAATTATTATTATTATTATCATCATCATCATCATCATCATAGCAACGAACTTTTCTACGATTTGATGACTAGCGGATTTCTCGTCAGTTAAACAGTCCATTATAAGCTCCCTGGATACGATTTGAGAATTACCGTCATCATCATTACCACCATCACCACCATCATCCTCAACAACAAAATCATTATCAACAACAACATCATCATCAACAACAACATCATCATCATCATCATTAACAACAACAAAAACAACAACATCACAATCAGCACCATCAAGAAAATCATCATCGTCATCGTCAACATCCTCATCAGCATCATCAAAAACAACAACATCACAATCAGCATCACCAATTTCATCATCGTCGTCATCATCATCATCCTCATCATCATCATTACTTAGTGAAGAGTTGCATGACAGGCTGAATGAGGGAGGCGACGGCCTGAGCGCCCATCTCGATCCGATGCACTTGAACAACCGCCAGGATCAACTGGAGAAATAAACTAGAAACTTCTGTCGGGGTGGTCATGATGACGACGACGATGACGATCGTGATGACGATGATTAATATGATGACGATGAGAACGATGACGCCTATACCCGTCATTCAACAATTCACATGAAAAAATTTAATTAAAAAAAAACTAGCACATCTCTCACTATACATGACCTTCACCTGAATTAGAGATGTAAACAGGAAGTAACTTCAAGGCCAAGTGGATGGAGCTGCGGAAGCAGGCGTAGGACATGATCTTCTGCTTCTTGCCGCCGGAAACGTCGAGGTGGTTTATTATATCAGTGACGATGGTTAGCGTCTTCTCAACGGCCGGTCTCACTGGGCAAAAAAGATAGAACTAATTTAATGATGGATGAGTTCATAGTTGGATGAATTTATGAATGAATGAATGAACGAACGAACGAATGAATGAATAAATGAATGAATGAACAAATGAACGAACGAACGAATGAATAAACGAGTCAATAAACAACTGAACGAGTAAATGGCGTACTTGATTCTCTAAATTCCCCATTCAATCTCAGCTTCACATAGGTCTCCTCATCACCCAACTGCACGTAATCCCCAATCAGGTGATTGACGAATGACGTCATCAGCTGGCCACGCCTCTCCCACTCCTGATTGGTCGTCGTCGGCCAGGGAATTAGGAGGTAGTGAGTTAGGGCTCTGTAAGTCAATAACTCCACCTGCGTGTGTGATGACGTAGCATTGCGACGCTTAAAAATTTTACATGCATAGATACATGCATACAGACATACATACATACACGCACGCACACACACACACGCGCGCGCGTAAATGTACAGACACACACACACACAAACATACAACAACAACAACACGCAAACAACACTGACCTCAGGTGGTACATTGCACACAAGAATGCCACTGATGTACAACTGTTGGAGGTACTTGTTGGAGTTGTACGCTGCCGCTGGACATACAGTGGTTAGTAATGATAGGAGCAGGTGACTTCCTGATAGTAGTATCTTCTCCGGAACCTTGGTGGCGATTATGATGATGATGATGAAGAAGATGATGAAGGTGACGATGATGAAGAAGATGATGATGACGACGATGACAAAGATGATGGCAACAATATCGATAAATGAGTAAAAATAATGTATAAAGTATCTAACGCTTTCCTGCAAAAACAAAGGAATGACGGATGACAGGAGGACATCAATCATTCCATCGCACTTCGACCTTGAACCTTCGTCACTTGACCTTGACCTCACGTAAAACTGGGCCAACCAGACAGAACAGGTTTTTAGTACCGCTAGCGTTTGAGCATGACTGGGAATGGTAAAATTATCGTCATTACCAACATTAACACTACCATGAGTGTACATACATTAAAAAGTAATAAAGCGCTATATAAATAGTCATAATAATAACAATAATAACAATAATAATATTAATAACAGCAATAATAATAATAATAACAATAACATTTTCGTCACATACACTTCAATAAAATCGGCTTCCAGGACGTTCTCAATTGGCGATGATGTATCGTAGAGCTTCAACTGAGAACCATAATCAGCCACTGTGATTAGTCTTGGTGATGATAATGAGGACGATCATTCATTCATTCATTCATTCATTCATTCATTCATTCATTCATTCATTCATTCATTCATTTATCCATTCATACACAGCACACAAAAATACTGACACAAAAACACACATACATACATACATACATACAAACAAACAAACAAACAACATACAGGCACACAAACAAACACAAATGTACAAACAAACAAACGCTCAAACAAACAAAGACACAGACATACAAACCTCTCCATCAAAGAACAGCCAGAGTTGAAATTTTTTTCGAAGTTCTCGCCGATGAGATGATCGATGAGTGAGGCTTGTATCTGCAGGGCAGTCGAAAAGTCTCTCAAACTACAATGCAACCTTGCTCGTTCAATAAATTATTTTATTATTATTTTATATTATTATGACTATAATTATTTATATTATTTTATTAACAGTAGTAAATAAATCACAAGATAAAAGTATAATTCACATGAAACCAAAAAGAACCTTCTGCAATCATTTTCTGCTGTTATGTTTAACTTTCTAACAACAACCACACCCTGCTGCTGCTGCTGCTTCACGGCTGTTACATCCCCAGCTACTAAGCTACGCAACGAAGATGACGAAAACGATGACGTCATAGCAGCAGCTGATGATGACGCTCTGCTGGCAAGGCATGTCGTTGAAGCTGTTTTAGCTGCTGACGCTGCTGTTCTCATAGCTGCCAATGGTGACGGCGATGTTGTCGTCGTCGTTATAAATCTTTTGAGGTCAAGATATATGCTTAATGACTCGTTGAATGGCTGGAACTGAATGGTAGAGAAAAGGGAGGGAGAGTACAAATATTATCATTTTTAATAATAATAATAATTTACGATACTCTATGTTATGATTGAGTAGAATGAAAAACGAATTAACAGACCTGAGAGAAAGGGAGAAAGAGAGAGAGAGAGAGAGAGAAGAGAGAGAGAAAAAAAAGGGAGAGAGAGAATTATAATTATAAACTAACGAGATGTTGAAAGACTTGAGCTGGGAAGAGTTTGCCAATCCCTACAATAATGTTAATGTTCTCCATCAAATACGACTGCCATTCTGTTTTAAACTGTTTCAAAGTAATTGTACTTGATAACAATATTAAAATTACAAATAATAATAATTATTACAATAATAAATAATAATAACATCATCATCAAGTATGTCATCATCGAGCATTTCGAGCTGTGATTGGTTGGTCTTGAATTGGATCCTTTCAGATACACTGACAAAAAGCGCTAGCAGTACCTCTTGGTACCTTTGTAAAGAATAATTTAAAATAAATTGAAGATATCGAAATTATTAAGTGGTAGTCCCGTCTTTGGTTAAATTGAATATGAAATATCAAACTAATCTGGCGGTAGATTTGTTTGTTTCTTACTAATGTAATCGTCAACTTTTCATTCTTAACAGTTTAATGTCTTAACAAGTAGTACCCTATAGCATTCTATCTATCTATCTGTCTGTCTGTCTATTTGTTGGTTCACTCAAACAACCATTACCTCATTCACTCACTTATTCATTCATTCACTCATTCATTCCTGTAGTCCACAAACTTGATTAGTTGAGCATTTGTATCATTACGACATTCTTCCATCTTTGAAGAGATGCTATCAATAAACTCATTCCATATATCCAAACATCTGAAGTAATTCTCATTGGTCGGCTGTCAAATTGATAAATTAAATAAAGTTGGATGTGATTGATCAGTGAAAAATCAAATCAACCAATAAGAAACCTGCTTGAAAGTGAACTGAATGAAAAGGGCAAGAAACTGCGTGAAAGGAAAGTTTTGATTGGTCAGGAATTTATGCATATGAGTCAGGATGAAGCTACGGAAATATTCAATCATCTTGTTCAGGTAACTGTTCATTGGTGGATGGGAGAAAATTATAACATAAAAATGAGGTAATTAATATGCAAATTGAACGTTTAATATGCAATAATTATACGCCTAATATGCAAATACGCCAACAAAATTTAAACCCTAACCCTTCTTCGAGATCATCTAGAGCATTCTTATCTCTATTATTTGCGTCATTCTTTGACAAAATCATCAGCATGCTATAGAATGCTTCAAAGGTGCTGGCTACGAATTGTAAATACGATTCGTTTGGAAATGGTGAGGAAGACGACGACGACGATAACATTTTGTTGGCTGAAATGCTAAAAGTTCTAGTCATCAATTCACAGATGCATGATAGTGCGCTGGTAGCGATGCACGACCTACAGCAGTTGTTGCAACACTTATGGAGAGAGCATTCAAAGTTAATAACATCATTTGTCGTCGTCGCCAGTGGAAATGGTTTATCAAAGCAGAACTTTGTAGCTAGTTCTAGAATTATTGCAAAGAGATCTCGTTTGGTGTCAAAGATTGTCAAGATGCTGTTGTTGTTGTCGTCATTGATGCTGTTGTTGTTGCTGCTGACTTTGGTGGGATCAATCCATGTGAACATGCTACAGAGGCACCTGAGAGCAAGGTACATGATTGAAGCACATTTAGGATCTAAACAAACTGATGAAGATAATGTCGTCGCCATCGTCGTTGTTGTTAGTGATGAAGATGTTGTTGTTGATGCTGTTGGTGCTGCTGCCATGTGGTTGCTGCTATGTTGGCTGTCGATTATTGATTCTGCTCTGCGTTTTGCTGACAACAAAATACCTGCCAACCAATTGATGACAATTCCCAGCAAATGAATAAATAAACCAACCTAACATAAGCAACAACAAAAAATCCACAGACACACATAAACATACACACATACTCACACAAACAAAAAACACACACGCACACGCGCCCAACCAACCAGTAAATATATTGAGCAGATCAGGCACGTGCCCACTTAACAATTGCATCAATTCTAATTTTCTTTCAGCAAGCACATCCTCTCTGGGCGTCAAAAACTCTTCTGACGCCATCTGAACGAACGTTAATCCCAGTTCGACGTACTCTTCTAATGATAGTAGCTAAGGTTAGAGAAAAAATACTTAGAATTAGGACAAAAATACTACTACTGCTACTCTTTTTAATACTATAACCACTATCAATATTATTATTATTATCACTATCATTATCAGATATATCATTATCTAGGTTTAGTTTGTATCTCTTTTGGCTAACAGCAGAATTTTAATTATTAAAAGTGTAAATAGTTGAATTCTATCAACATTGTATCATTATTTGTGGTAGTATCATAAGAAATATCATATAGTATCATTATTATTATCATTAGTGATAGCATCAGTACGATCATTTATTATCATTATTATTAGTGGTAGTATCAGCACTATCATTTAGTATCATCATTATTATTAGTGATAGTATAATTTTTTTCCTATCTCCCATCTTTAATTTCTTCTGAAAACAGTAATGTCATAAATTACTTCCCGCTATTACTAATATTATAGACAAGATGAAAAATTTGAATAGAATAATAATAATAATAATGCATATATAATAATATATAATTTTTATATATAATGCATATATAATAATAATAATGCATATATAATAATAATATTACAAAGGAGGTATTACAGGCTTTAAAAGAAAGAAAAGTAGTCGATGAGGAAGAAACGGAAATAACATTGGAGGGAGTAATAAAAGCAATGAAGAAAATGAGGAACAACAAGTGCACAGGGAGAGACGGAATTCCCATGGAACTGATCAAAGCGGGAGGACTAATTGTATGTAATGAGATTCACAAACTCTGCCAAGAAATCTGGGACAGTGGAAAATGACCAGAAGATTGGTGTAAATCAATCTTGATCATGTTGCCAAAAAAAGGAGACCTGAAAGACTGCAACAACTACAGATCAATAGCACTGATCCCTCATATGTGCAAGATCATGCTGACGATCTTGAAAAAACGATTGGAGAAAGACATAGAGCAGCATTTAGGAGAAGAGCAGGCAGGTTTCAGAAAGGACAGAAGTACAGTCCAGCAAATCCTGATGTTGAGACTATTGTTGGAAGATGCAGGAAGCAGAGGTCAAACAACTTTTCATTGTTTTGTGGATTTTAAGAAGGCGTTTGATTCAGTCTGGCACGAAGGTTTGTGGGCAGCTTTGGAAAGTATGAGAGTGTCAACAAAAATGGTAAGGGTGCTGAAAGGGCTTTACGAGGAGTCAACAATGGAGGTAAAGGTAGGTACAGAGCTGGGAGACTGGATCAAAGCGAGCATAGGAAGTAGACAAGGAGATCCAATATCACCATTACTGTTCTTAGCACTGTTGGAAAGAGCCTTGGAAAAAATGGATAATACAGATATTGAGGGAATCGACATTGGAGGCAGAGTGATAAGGGACCTCAGGTTTGCAGATGATATAGATCTGCTAGCATCTAGTGCTGAGGGTCTACAGATACTGATCGAGTTGACGTACGATGGTGGAAGAAACCATGGACTACACATCAACAGCAGTAAGACAAAGATAATGATTTCGGAAGCAAGTGGAAACAATGAATTCCAGATAGGAGCAGAAAAGCTCGAACAAGTGAACCAATTTATATATCTGGACAGCCTCATAACTGATGACAATAATTGTTCGAAAGAAATTGATAGAAGAATAGCAATCGCGAGAGGAATGTTTGCATCTTTGAAAGTAATATTGAAAAACGGTAATGTATCTACAAAAACAAAAGTAAAGATCGTAGAAGCGTGTGTGTTTTCTACATTGATGTATGCATGTGAGGCTTGGACGTTGAAGAAAAGAGACAAAGACAAACTGGAAGCATTCGAGATGCATTGTTATAGAAAGTTGCTGGGAATCAGTTGGAGACAAAAGATAAGAAACGATGCCATAAGAAAACAACTTGGAAGACAAAAAACTGTGTATGAAAGTGTCAAGGAAAGAAAACTGGGTATCTTTGGGCACATCTGCAGAATGACAGACGACAGACTGATCAAAAAAGTACTGATGAGAAAGAGGGACTGGAAGAAAAAAGTTGGAAGACCTGTGAGGAAGTGGATGGATGATATCACGGAATGGACGGGGGTTGGAACATTGAGCTCAATGAAGATGGCGAGGGAAAGAAAAGGATTTTGGAGAGATAGAAGAATACCATCGGCCTCAACGGTCCCTTAAGGGATTACAGAGGATCATTGAATGAATGAATGAATGAATAATAATATACATAAAATACACAGTTACATATGTAATTAACATTAGTTATTAAAATCAAAATTTTGTAAAAAATCACGAAATGAACGAAAATTGATAATTTAAACAAAGATTAAAAATAAAAAAATCGAAAATAATTGTTTCAACTGTAAAAATTTCATCGAAGAAGTGGGGATAAGTCGTCGGCCAGTCCATCTTGGCAATGCTAACTATCAGTTTCACTAATTTATTTCTAATAAACGAGCTAATTTGCTGTTGTTGTTGCTGGCCTACGTTGTTGTTGTTGGCCGAATGTTGTGTTGATGTTTGTTGTTGTTGGGATGATGAGGATGTGAGCAACTTATAGGCAGTTAGTCTGATCAGAGATTTTTCTTCTGAGGTTCTATGATGTCTTTGTATCGAATTCTTGAAGGGAGGAAATAAATTAGAGTTGAAAAAAAATTAAAATAATAATAAAACATTAATAATAAAAATAATGATGATAAATAATTAAATATTAATTATTAGTGAAAATAATAATAAATAATAAAAATGAATTAGTGCAAAACCTCGAGAACATTGGCACAGAACATGAGCATAAGTTCATTGAATGTGTACGAGATGTAGATGACGCATAATTCCCAGGTGTTGCTTGCGGTTGAAAATTTCATCAAAAAATCCCCTTAAATTGATATATTTATTATTTTATTATAAACTAATATTTCATAATAATGGCCAACTTAACCAACAAAGATTTTTTTATTTAAAGTTTAAATTTCAATTTTTATATAATGACGCATCAATTCAATAATTATATTAGCAAATAAAATGAAATCAGCTTAAGAACTGTCATCAACTTTTGCTTCTCTAACCAACATAAGCCTGACTAACTCACCTATTTCTTTTTTCTTTGCATTGTCAGTGACTGGAGAATAGAACTCCATCAGAAGTTTCTCCAAATCTGCATAGGAAATACCTATTCTTTTTTCCAACTCTATCAAATGGTTCATATCAGTTGCCTGTTTCAACGTTTTGGTGTTTTTAGTTAGAAAAAAGATTATGTAATGGTCAGTTTATTAAACTTTTTATGAATGGAAAATGAGTGAGATATGTGAGCGATCAGCTGGTCAAACCACTGACAGTCACAGCCAGCAAGTCAGATCAGTCAGAGCAGCCAAATTTTTAAATTACTGAGTTGAGGCTTAAGACAGTTACAGAGTAATTAATTCACAATTTTTTAGATAAAAATTGACTTACCATTTTTTATGAAACAATAAAGCCAAACGCGAAAAATTATTATTGAAAAGATATCTGTTTAGTTTAGCAGGAACAAAAATAATTATTAAATTGAATAAATGAAAAGTGAACCTGGTTTCAAGAAACGCGATGTACTGCTCCTATTGAATTGTATTTAAAGAATTGATCTATAGTACTAAAACATGCGAGCTACTGGCGAGGCATTTGAGTCATAAATTCATTGCTTACGTTAAGACCGTTTAGGATGTAGTAAGAAAAATACAATAAAACAATTCATATAAAAAATTACACGACCAATCCGATTGAAACCAGTTGCTTGCGAAACATTTAGTCAGAAATAAACTCAGATTATCAGATACACGGGCTCAGTTCTTTTATATTATTTTATATCGATGAAAAATAATTAGAATACACTGAAATAGGTGATATTTAAACGGATATTATAAACAAAACCACACCTTGACACCAAACAATGAATAAACCCATAAAACATAAAATTTAAAAAATCCTATTACAACAAATGTTAAGGAAGAATTTTAAGAAATTTGAAAAATCAGATCAGTTGAAATCAATTCTGGGGCCGTCATCATTCCATTCTCCAGTTTCCTCGCTGTTTTCAGTGATTCCCATTACTTTGCTATCCTTATCGGAGATCACCACCACTCGAATTGTGTTAGTGTATCCCGACCCAGCTTTCCATCCAGTAACCACAACGATCGGTGTACCAGACTAGGCATGTGTGAACATTTTAAGGTGTTATAAGTTTAAGAGCAATCGACTGAAAAAATTTCAAGTATGTTTAAACAAAACGCTTTATAAAGTAATGGTCTCTCGGTTATCAACTCAGGTGTCGGTAAAACTTACCCGGATGATATATCTCTCAAAGCCGGTTTTTATCGCCAAACCGATTCTTTTGTCCATATCGTCAACCCATCTTGCTTCTCTCGGGGCAGTGTAGTGCAAGGTCATGACCCCTCTGAATAAATGTAGCTGACGGGCCACCTTGTGAAATTTTAAAAGTTATAACTCCACGTCAATCATTTTACTAAATCATAAAAATGCAACTTTGTGATGAAAAATTGCAATTAGGGAAGTACTTGGGCATCTCTGGTGACCGCAAGAATGGGACATCTCGGCCTGTAGGCACTCATCAACATGGCCGACCTTCCAGAGGTGGTCACAGTGATGATGGCTACAGCGAGGCAGTTGATAGCGGCTTCAACTGCAGCCAGGGCAGTAGTGTGAGTGACATCTGTTGGGCGGGGCGTCAACATGCGTAGATCTTCAAAGAGCTGCTTGTGGTACACAGCTGCCTCTGCTTCTTTGGCTATCCTGTGCATCGTCTCAACTGCCTTTGTGAGAAATTTAATTTCAAATTATTTCAAAATAATCTGATAAAAAATGTTTTTTGTATCCATTTCGTTGACGCACTTGCAAGGGGTAGAGTCCCTTGGCAGTTTCTCCAGACAACATAACGCAGTCAGCTCCATCCAGGATGGCGTTTGCAACATCACTACTCTCAGCTCTCGTTGGCCGTGGCTTCTTAATCATACTCTCCAACATCTGTGTAGCGCATATGATCGGCTTTCCTGCCCTGTTGCACCTGCCTATCATCATCTTTTGAGCTAAGAACACCTTTTCTGTTGGAATCTCAATGCCGAGATCACCTCTGGCTACCATTATTCCGTCCGATTCTTCCAGAATTTCATCAAACCTAATTGAAAAAACAATTGAATGATTAAAAACTAAAACTGATACGATTAAAATTGAGAATATTTTGCAGTGGTTGGCCATGATGAGCTAAGTTAGTAAGTTAAAATTCAAAGTATCTGGAACATTAACTGACTAGTTGGTTTATAAAAATTAAAACATTTATAAATTCAAACAAATCCCGACCCAAATTTGGTACCTTTTAACGCCTTCATGGTTCTCAATTTTAGAAATAATTTTGATATTTCTGCCCGCGGTACCAAGGACCTCTCGTATTGTTCGAACCCCGTCACCACTCCTGATGAATGAGGCGAATATGATGTCCACACCTTTCATCCAAATTAATTATTTTCACCAATTTTAATAAAAATTATTACTAAATAAATAATATCTATATCATTCACAATTTTAATAAAAATTATTACTAAATAAATAATATCTATATTATCCACAAATATTATTACTAAATAAATAATATCTATATTATTTACAATTTTAATAAATATTATTACTAAATAAATAATATCTATATTATTCACAAATTTAGTCTAAAAAAATCCACCGTTTTCAACTCCAAAGAGTAGATCTTTCTTATCCTGCTCTGAAACTGCTGGCAAATCAACGGGAGTTCCTAGAAAATAATTCCAAATAATATTTATTACAATTATGATAACATAATTTCTAATTTCTAATTCATAATTAACATAATATAATAACATAATTTCTGAATAATAAAAATAATTATAACCAGGGAGGTTGCAGCCCTTCTTGCTACCGACCCGCCCGCCATTTTCGACCTTGCACTTCAAGAAATCCACACCTTTCTGTAGCACGACCAGTGAGATCAGGCCGTCGTCGATGTAGACTTTCTGAAAGTTTGAAAAATTATTATTAACTATGAATTATTAAATAAATATAATTATATATTATGATTAATTACTTAATATTATCATCATTGCTGTCGTTATTGACTACTTCTAATAATGCTACTGCTGCAGCTTCTACTACTACTACTGCTGCTGCTACTACTAGTACTGCTGCCTCTTATTGATATTATTATTATTTATAATAATATAATTATAATTTATTATTATTGTTATAATAATAATTTTATATTATTGTTATAATAATAATTTTTCAATCACCTTCCCAACGTCGACGACTTGGATGATGTTCTTATAATCCACCCACAAGTTATTCTCGTCGCACTGTTCCTTGAACTCATCATTAATCTGTTATCATTTTTGATAATTAATATAAATAAAGCGCTAGATAAAGCAGCTTTTGTAGCGCTTCATCACAGATACATCCTGAAAAACAACGAATCAAAGACAACAACACAATATTAAATACCGTTATGTTAATTTCCTGTCCCGTTTTTAATTCGGCCTCTTCGTTGACGCCATATTTAATAATACCCGTCCTAATTTCTGGACCCTTGGTATCTAATGCTAATGCCACTGGGGTCAAAAGTCCGAAAGCAGCTTCACGAACGTTCGCGATTGTTTCCTTGTGGTATTCATGGGTACCGTGCGAGAAGTTCATACGAGCCACGTTCATACCCGCTCCGATCATCTTCTTTAGCATCTCTACTGTTCTGTTGTTTGTTTGTTTGTTTGTGTGTGTGTGTGTGTGTTGTATCTGTATGTGTTGTGTCTTTGTGTGTCTTGTGTGTGTGTGTGTGTGTGGTTGTTGAAAACATTTCCTCTTCATAATCACACATACCGATACACATATCGACAAGTGACAGCAGCACATACCGATATGAAAAACCTCACACAAAATGTATATACTGACGCAAACAATGAACACACACAAACACGCATACGGAGACAAAGGAAACATACCGACAAGCCGGTCCGATAGTGCAGATAATACTCGACATCCTTCTAACATTCGGCGGACTGTCGATATCAAGATTGCAGAGGGATTCTAACCTCGAGCCTGCATAAGCGGATTGAAGTTGCTGCTCGTACGATCCTTCCGTCATGAAAGTCACCCCTGATGACCAGCTGGGCACGCTCAGCATGCCGATCTGCGGGGATGAACCGATACCGATACCGCCTATTTTTGCCATCACTGTTTTTGTTGCAGTTTTGAGTTAGGAATTATTAGGGAGAGGAAAAATTTTGAGAGCTGGGATGTATTAAGATATGTTGATGTAGGTTCGTATTATTCGTTAGAAATTCTTTTTTTTAATGTTGAGAGTGAGTTCGTTGTTGCTGTAGTAGTTGTTGCTGTAGTTTTAGTTGTTGTTGTTGCTAGATTCGAAATGATGAACAAAAAATTTAACAAATTTTCAATCGCAATGATTAATTCAAAGCAACAACAACAAACCAACTACACAACTACAGTTGAGACGTACGTGTTCGGTGCAGTTGCCTGACTGACTATCAACTGATGAAAAACTTTTCACGGAATAAAAACGTACATCCATATACAAACTTCCTATGCACATACTTACGCATGTATGTACATATATATTTATTTTTCTTATTTTTTTTTTTTACATTGTTTCTTCATAACTGATGTTTGATACATCAATGAATACGTACTATACATGCATTTGCAAGCCGTATTGCGCGTATATATATATATATATATACATATATATATATGTATGTATATATATATATCCAGTGCATACACGGATGCTGACGATGTTTACATCTTCATCTCATTAATATTCATGAATTTACACTAAGGACATTTGAAGGTCGAGTTAGGTTTTTTCAAGAATTATTAATTTTTTTTATCTTGTTTTAATCTCAATTTTGTTTAGCTGTTTAGTTTTCTTTCGCTGTAGTTTTTCCTGAACTTGGATTTATTTTTTCTGGTGAGTTTTTGTAAAGTGAAGCGCTTAATAAATTGAGAAGTTTAATAAATTAAAAATTAATTAATAAAAAAAACAAATTTGGCTTTTTAATTCAAGAATTTTTCAAAAAAAAAAAATAAAAACCGTACTACAGCCCAACTCTTATTTTCAAGAGTTGCGTCATTCAGCAATGTAAACAGAAATACTACTGCAAACGATGATATTTATTTATTCATAATTATCTAAAAATGAGTTAAAATATATCTTAAATTATGAGAGATCAAATAGCGACGATAAGTAGAAAAAATTATTTTTTACGAAGAATGATGCTCCACAAAAAAAAGGTTATAAAAACGTGATAAAAACACCGACGTAAGTCACGATGAATAAGTCTCATATTAAATAAAAATAAATTAATAAACATTGCAGGATTGTAAAATCAAGGGGTATATAAATATATATTATATTACATATATATGTGTGTGAGTGTTTGTGTGTGTTTGTGTGTGTGTGTGTGTGTGTGTGTGTGCGTTTGTGTGATTGACAGATCAGATTTCGAATAAATGAAATAATGATTAAGAACCATGGTTAAACTTTACGAAAAAAGTTGATAAATTATATCATATACATATGTATATGATATATATATATATATATATATATATATATATATATATCATAACAGTATCAATGTTATGTGTTTATATATATATATATATTATATATATATATATATATATATATATATATATATATATATATATATATATATCTGAGCATTATATAAAAATAATTTGCACTTCTGAAACATAACTAACTACTGATCAACAACTATTTTTTTCTTGAAAAAAAAATCCAAAAACTTTTTATACTTTTAAAAATATATAATCTGAAACAAAACGATTTCTTATAAATAATTTCAGCGCTAGATGAATAAATCAAGGCCTCATCTTATTGGCTGATTAATGTAATGACGTAATCTAAGCTCTTTCAAATCTTTCTTCTTATAGACTGATTGAAGTAGCGGCGTCATCGAGACAAACTCTAATTGGTAAGTTGAATTTATGACGTATTCAGGGTTTTTTTTAAACCTCTACTCCTATTGGCTGATCAGAGTAATGACGTAATTTGCCGGGAGTAAACCTGTTTTTGAACCTGATTCCACCTCTAGCCATTCACCTCTCAACTGCCTGATGACTTTCACGATATCATTCTTCAAAGTTTTGAAACAAAAGAACGAAATGGAATATAATTTTCAAATTAGTTTTTATTTAATGTCAAAAATACGATAAATTATTAAAAATGAATTGAGAATTTGAGACCTTCTTGACGGAGATTTCAGATGGGTACTGCGCTAAAAAGTCGTACATTACAACGCACTTCTGCTTCGTTGTCCTAGGAACAATCTCTTTAACCTTCTCAACCTAACGACATGAAATGAACCACAGATAAATACGATTTTTAAACAAATGTATCCAACCTAATTATCAAACGATGCGATAATTATATTAAAAAAAAAATAATTGAAAGATACCAAAAAATTGAAAATTGATTGCCTAACTTGAATATAGTTTATGGGTACGAGTCCTTTCAAGCCGTTCAACTCGGCATCTATCCAATTCTCGTCAACTTTTTGCAATATCTTCAATCTATCGCCTCTAGAGAATGATAACTCGCTGATGAATAAGTTAATAGGTTATGTTAATGAGATCGATTATGCTAATTAGAATAGGTCAGTTTTGAATACATTATGCAAATATCATGCCTGGGGTAGTGGGCGTGGAAATCGTAGAGGGCTAGAGCGTATAGTGGAAACTTGTCGGCTGTTGTTTTTATGTTCCTGTACCTGCTATGATTATAATAATTGTAATAATAATTATAATAATAATAATTAATAATAATAATTATTAACAACTGAAAATAACTTTGAAAAATTACTCGTTCTGAAGTGAAATTTTTTCGAAATTCGCCAACTTATTCCAAAAAGAATCATCGATGTTGTTGTTGTTGTTGATGTTGTTGATGTTATTGGTGCTCTCAGTGTTGCCACTGCTGCTGTCGTTGATGACGTCATCAACATTAAAATCGTCAACGTAATTATTAAATTTGTAATCATTCAAGTCGACACGGAGCAAGTTGTTGTTGCTGATGTCGCCGCTGCTGATACTGCTGCCAACAATCTGTTCATTTAGCTTGACGCTACTTGGCCTGATGACTTTTCTGAAGAAGTTGTTCATAAATACAATGAAAAAATTCAATATAGAAAGGTTTTACTTGTTAAGTAATCAATTAATTAGTTAATTAATTCATTCATTCATTCTTTAGTTCATTCTTTCATTCACGCATTTTTGATAGATAGTGCTTAAAAACTAACAATTTTGCAAGCAATTTGTTGTCGCTTTGTTGTTGTTGTTGAATATTTGCATCGTTGTCGTTCTGTGACTTGAATGAACGAATGAACGAACGAACGAATAAATGAATGATTAAAGGACAGATGAATGAAAAAATGAAAAATTACTAAAAATTATTGATAGATTGATGGCAGTTAGATGAATGAATAAATGAACAAAGAGAAGTATGATTCACTCATCATCATCAATATAAAAGACGTTGATAGAGGAGATAGAAAATAATATCAGTAATAATAACAACAACATTAATAATAATAATAAAACAAAACTATAAATAGCTCCTGGAAATTTCTAAACGTAGGTTGGTCTGTTAGCAGTTGCTGATACTGATCATGGTAATGATGATGTTGTTGTTGTTGTTGTTGCGGCTGGTGTTGATAACGATAACGAGCGGATGATGATGATGATGACGACGACGATAACGCTGATGATGATGATGGTTTTGTTGTGGTTGCTGTTGTCAGCGCTAAATCATTTTTATGAAATGGCAGAGAGCCAGTTCCGTGGTCTGTGTTAAAAATAGGATCGCTGATGTTACTACTGCTATTATTATTATTATTATTACTAATATTACTGTTGTTGTTATTATTATTATTATTGTTGTTTTTATTATTATTGTTGTTTTTGTTATTGTTGTTAATATTAGTAGCGTTTCTAGGATTACACGAAAAAAAATTATTTATTGATAAATACATCTGTCATAAGCATCTGGTTTGTGAGAATTATAAACAAAAATACGAACCAAAGACATACATACATACATTCATACATACATACGTTTACGTACAAACATACATACAAACAAACATACCTACAAAAGGATAAATATATAAAGTTGTCGTGTTAATAGTTTTGCGACCGAACTTAATAATATAACCTTTTGATTCGTAGAGATGCGAATGCTGTTGTTGCTGATGTTGTAGTTGTTGTTGTTGATGATGTTGTTGTTGTTGTTGTTGTTGCTTTTCTTCTTCTTCCCGTTTAAGTTGGTTGTGAAGTTCTATAAGTTGTTGTCGAAATTGTTGTTTATGCTGTTGTTTTGGTTGTATTTTCTTAAGAACAGATCTATAAAAGAATTTTGTAGAATTTATACATACG